CACCACTGACGAGCCCCAATCAGGCGAAACGCGTCTGGTGCTTTTCTGGACTAGGCTCTGCTATGTAGCTTGTGAAATACTGGGACGAAAACCTTAACAAAAGGACAACAAATCGTACTACTTACCAGTAATTAATTTTCTCTTGAAATTTGTTGGTCATGGAACGCTCTTCGACTTTTGTCATTTGTGCGCCCACGTTACCCATCTTTCAAAAATGACTCGACGATGCATTACACCATCTGCAATATGTGATAGCATTTCTGCTCATGCAATGCTGACAAGGCGGGATAAACATTGGGCTCACCAGCCCCCAGGAAAACAGGGTGTGTTAAGATGGATATTATGGTGAGTCCATGAGTGCGCGTTTTACTTTGCTGTCGCACTTTGTGAACTAATGTAATTCGTGCAAACTCCTCCACGTGTCTTTTCAAATATTGGCTCTTTTACGCGTATTTTACCTTTGTTCTATTGTTTCTCGACTCGAAAGATTCTCAGCTTTTCATTTCACATTAGCAGTTTTTGTGGTCTGAGTAGTGTTGTAACGCTTCTTTTTACTGTATTAACGCTTCTTCTTTACCTCTGCTCTCTGTCTAGACGACTGTCATACTGCTGCTAGCTGCCCCTTAAGACTGCGACTGTCTGACTGATCAGTCACGCGCCCAGCCAACCGACGGAATACAGAAGGCCAGAACTAGATAGACAGAGAGACGTATTGTATGAGAGCATGGCGCAATAAATAGGTTGTGGACAACTACTAACATGATAATATTGGTGATACTAATTGATGTTAATTAACACAACTCAAATGGCTCAAGTTCATGACCCAATTTGCCGTTGATTCCACATCGATTCGCATTTTGATCTGTACTCGAGTTCGATCTCTAATTGTAGATCGATCCGCTTCTACGCCACTGCTCTCGGCTTGATCGTTGGCTGTAAGCTTTCTCTCCGCAACGAGTAGTATCGTGAAATCGTTGTTTTAGTCAAAATGTTTAGTGAGGTCTCTTGTCTTACCTTCGCTCTGTTCTCTGGAGATACAACTTGTTACTCATGTATACCTCTAGCGTCTCAATACAGTAATTCATAATTTTGTTAAATGCTTGACAACGCTTTTGTGTTAGTCAACAGGAAACCGATCCAATCAGAGGTATTAACCAAGGCACCCTATATCTTCTATACCGAAATTGCACAAGTATTTCAACGATCCCTTACGTGTCTATGAAATGTTATTGTTGCAACGGACACCAATACGCTCATCACTAAGGGGACAATCTATTACATCAATAACAGCAACTATTGGACCAGTAGTAGATATACGGTCTAAGGTATTACGCAGCCTTCTAGGAGATGTTACATACTGTGTCCAGTCTCAATCTTTAATTGATAAGCACGGGTTTGATTGAGCTATCATGAAGCAGATGACTTTTGCGTTTACATGAGGTACTATTTAAGCGGCAGGGCATCTTCCTGTTTAACACTTTCTACCTCGATTATACTGGTTCCAGGAGACTGTTAATCGTTGCTGCGGGGTGGGGTGAATGATCCTCGTGATCGTGCTAACCTCAAAGGATGATTCCAAGTAATGTATAGTGGGTTAGGGCCTAGCCATCGCCCTATGTAGGTCTGGTACGCACTATTAGCTAGATACAAATGCTGCTGCTGTACATGTTGAAGGAGTGTGGGCCGGCGCTGTAAAAGTCGGTCCTTCAAGGACAAAACGTATATTCTGCAAACACAAGGACCAGGCGAAAACACAGGCAGAGGGCGAGTGAAACATATCGGTATATACAGCTAGTTGGATCCATAATTAACGACCTTTGTGAATGCATGACATTTTTCCTTTGATTCAGTCAAACAAACTCACTCCAATGCGTCCTACTGTTGGCCAATCAGCGTGCATGCGAGAAACGTGTGAACATCCTATCAGCTGCCGCCTTTCCTTGCGGCAGCCTAACGGTTTCCTTGCTGGACTGGCACCGCACGTTCGTTCGAGTGTATACTCCCATCACAGGCGCCGTTGATGAAACGTGGCCCCCATCCACATGCCTCCCGGTGTTTTTCCCTTGGGTTTACACTGGAAACGTAGTGGTGCAGCGCAAGTCACCCGTGGCCTCACTGTAGGTGCAGGCGTCCTGTGGCTGTCTATGGAAGATACAGTGGCAGACATCCGGCACTGGATGCGGCTAACTATATATATATATATATATATATATATATATATATATATATATATATATATATATAAACGACTATAAACGACTCTCTATTCCTTTTACCTGTGTGTCACTATACCTTGGGTTGCCATATATTAACTAGCTAACGGGGTTGGGAGATGGGACAAGTCGTTCAAGCAAAATCATTTGGCTGTGGGTGGTCGATGTTACAAACTGTTTTCTTCTCTGAGGAACTTGGAAATAAATTTACGATGGCTTGCTGAGTCTCATGTGTACTTGGGGTTTTTCTGCCCACCAAGTTGGGCCTATGCATAAACTGGCATTTCTCAGTGTATGAGGGGGAATTCCACAAACCAAGTGATCCACAAAGTTACACGATGTTAGCCATATCTAAAGGAGGCACTATGTTCTTGTCACCTGGAGTTGAGGGCTTATTGAAGTTTTGTCTTGTTTTTACGAGTATTTGTTGGGTCAGAACCTTAGTTGGGCATGTGGTTTGATCAGCCACCCTAAAGTGTGCATGCTTTCTGCGGTACTTTGTCAAGAACAACACTGTTGGTGTACTTAGCAAGGCAACATGCTGTGGCTCTGGGACACGCGACCTTTGGTCACGAGGCGAAATCAAGTTTACGTTGTTCTTGTTTGTCGTAGCAGGAGGCGGTGTTGAACGGGATGATGTACGCGAAATTCGCTTACAGCTGCTGTGCAATGGCTAAAGAGCTGCACCGTAGTGATATGAGGAAGCATTTCCCCCATAAACTGATATCGGTGTATGGTTTCAGAATTTAAGCAACCATTTTCACGAGTGGTAAATCGGCTATTCTTTGTATAACATATCGGTTACGCGGAATTACTAATCTGATTTCTGTCAATCAAATGTTGACTCTACAGGTAGTTAACTGCATTGTCGTGAAATGGCTCTCCAGCTTTGTTTTGGTTATGCTTCTCTCTTAATTTATATCATTGTTTAAACGTGTTTTCTCAACTGAGGGTCTTAGTTTGACGTACTTTCTTTCATTACTCATAGCCCAGAAGTGGTATGTTATCTGCCGTCTGCGTACTTGACAGCGTTTCATTGATTCTTGGGGAGATTCTGGCGTTTCTGGTGACTAAGTGGATAGCTTCGTCTACTGCACTATCCAGACATTTTGTGATTGTTAGAGTTTCATCTTTGGAAGTCGCGTTACATGACTTCTCCAGGGCGACGACTAAAGTTGAAGCCCTAGGGTGATCAGCACTTGAAGATTTGGACAGATTCTTACCCTGGAATTCGTCCAAGTCCATAATACTTTTGGGCGTAAATTCCACGTCTGCTTGACTGCTAATTACGTTACAAGGAATGGCGTTGTCATCGGATTCCACTTGCTTTACCTTTATTTCCCTCTGAATAGGCGTTTGATCATGATATGCTTGGACTCAATGTTATTAGTTATTATACTCCTCTTGCGGAATTGTTAGAGCTGACGCTCCTTAAATTTCATTTGAATTTGACGCGCCTTAATGGAGATGAATTAAACAATAGATACTTCCGTTTTCAGGTGTACTTTGTCCGGTATATTTAAATTGTCGACGTTTTGAGATTTATTTACCCTCTCGGAAATTTCTTTGGTAAGCGACGAAAAGATCGGTGTCGCTTGTTGCACGGGATTTGCATTGGTTTTATCAGGGACACGAACCAACCATGATATTCATATTAGTTTCACAAGCACCTAAGCTTTTCTTTTAAGATAATTATCTCATTTTCGAGGTTGTGTATTTTGAAATGTCAAGTTAGGTAATAGAACGGTCCCTTTGTTTTGGTACCTCTTGTTAGCCGGATCCCGCGTTTTTCTTGTGGTTGCCTGCAACCTCACATTTTGGTCAAGAAAATTTAAGTATTTCTGAATACGGATCTTAGCTATACTCGGCTTACGACCATATACCTGACACCTGTTGTCGTTTTTTTTCGGTAGATCGGCTAATTTTTTCGTCATTTCTACATAAGCTAACCTAGATGAGCTGATATCAAAATTTTGGAAAATGTAAGGAACCACTTCATCTGTTACCGGATAGAAATGAAACAAAACTTGAACTGTTAGCAGAATAACCAATACAAGAACCACGATCCAACCTATTGAACCCTCCTCGTTCAAGTTCCACACGGCTGATGACGAAGTTGTTCACGGTACTGGGTGTTGATTGGCAGTCAGCTGCGTCCGCGACAAATGCACTTCAAGTATTAGTCGTTGTCGAGCGGATAATCGCTAGCTGCAGGGGACGATACAGCAACATGTTGGAAACGGACGCTTCTACGCTTGCCCGGACAACACCGCTCAGCGTAGACGACTATTTGATCCGCAATAGCTCGATAAATGCAATTACGGTGACTGCAAACAGACTGCAACTACTTGACATGATGTACGAAACTTCTCATGTAGAGCTGGTTAGAGGACCTTTTAAATGATGATAAAAGCCTGGATGTGTACACAATGGTAATGGTGCGCCTGAGGGTCAGCAAAGCCTGTCAGAAATAAAGTAGTGAGGTAAACACTAGTATAAAGAAAACGGAGCCTTGATTCTGGATCATAGGGATAGCGCACGTAAATCCGAGTTAACCATTCCGACCGCAGCAATGTACGCTGTGGTGATGAGAAATAAACCTGAGAAAAATCCGAGCTCTAAGACTGTGCGGCTGCATCACTTGAATCGTCAAAAATTAATAACGATTTTGAAACTTAATTGCATTATATGCATCACAGTCCAAGTCAGCGATTAAGTGACTTCAATTGCAACCGTACTCTGTTTAAAACTAATTAGTGTTCCGCTCTTTTTCAATGTTTTGTGCAGCTGCAGATTTGCCAAAGCCAATACTCCGAAAACAGAAAGTATAGCAACAAACTTGAAGCCCAACTAGCTGCATTGCTGTGTATCTTACTTGTCCAGGTGAGTGTTTTTGTCGCTCACTCTGTTCCGCAGTTTAACTTTCTCGAAGCTAAGTTTGTTTTTCTCTACTCATTTGCTGTTTGAAGTCATTCAGCTGTGTTGTCTTATCGTTTCGATGGATCTTTTTCATACACCCAGTAGGTTCATGACCCCGCCGTGCATCATCATCATCATTACAAGTTAGCTGGAGGTGGAAAACATCTCAGCTATTGTGCTGCAATACAAAAGACAAGAAAAGGAAAGCAAACGGTGGCACGCCCGCTGAGTCCCCAGTAACGGATGGACATCGTTCCGGAGAGCTAACAGCTGGCTGCCTTAAAAGAGAGTCATATTATGCCTAACAAGTGAGATCGTGATTGGAGGGGGATGCTAAGCAGGAGGGTGATGGACAACTGAACTCACAACACAAACGCCATTGGGGCCGGCTCCTAGCCATATCAGCAAATTTACACAAGCAAAGTGTACATCTTCCTTAGGACCCCAGCCAGGCAGTCGGGATGCACCAACCGACGCCAGTTTCGAAGTGAGACTTTTTATCTCTCGACAAAGTCATCGCTTGACCTCCCCTCCTCCTCTTCCAACCGCACCCCCGGCGCGCAAACAATGCACGTCGCGAGAATCGGTGTGCTGGCATGCGCAACACGTGGCCCGTCCATCGGAGCCTGGTGCGTGATATATTGGTGCTGAGCGGTTCACTCGCACCGCATGCACCAAATACGCGCCACCGAACACGCTCATTGCTCACGCGGTGTTCCCACCAGACATGAGCTATGTTGCGAAGGCAGCGTTGATCGAATGTGACAACCCTCTTTATGTCTGTCGACCTGATGGGCTAGGTTTCACAGCCATATAGGAAAGTTGAACGGACGGCTGCGTTGTAAACTCTGCCCTTCAGGGCGAGAGTAATGTCGCGTCTGCGCCACAGGTGTCGGAAATTGGCAGAAGCACCTCGAACTTTTGCTATACTGTTCGTAACCTCATCTTCAATCCCACGGTTGCTAATATAGCTGACCAGGTACTTGAATTCCTGAACGATTTCTAGCAGATCACCACTAAGCGTTAGCGCAGGGTTGGGTCCCTGCCAATCTTGGAGAAGTATTTTGCATTTCGATGGAGCAAAGCATAGCCCAAAACGATTGACAGCCAGTGCTATTCGGTCCAGTGCTGTTTGGCATGTTTGGGAGCTGTCACAGATTAGGGCAATATCGTCCGCATACTCCAAGTCAAGACGTCGCTCACCAGTAAGTAGCTCCATACCTTCTAGGTCGTGTCCAGCGAACGCTGTTTCCATGACTTCATCAATAACGAAGTTGAAGAGGAACACAAGATTGTAGTTATTGGTCATTCGCCAATCCGATGCTTGATACTGTGCCTCTTCTCCCTGATCCTCAATTTGATCCGTGTTATCAATTGTGATTATGGATGCCGATCGCAGTACATGAAGTTGTTCAGACTCATTACATAGATCATATGAAGCTAAACCGGTGTGAGAGATAGGAGAAGGCAAAAAAGGCCTCACCAATGCACTGGTACGCAGTACCTGCGCTTCCACTACCAGTCGCACGTGGGCTAAGGATATTGCGAGGGTCGCCCGGTTCATCCGCAGGCTTGGATGCGTGCCCCGGGATTTCAAGATAGGCCTGTGATCCTAAGGTTACGGGCCGGGGAAGGTACAATACCCGAATCCCCTGCAGTTCGGGATGGTTGCTCATGTGTTCTCTGAGCCTTGTAATCTTTTGAGAACGCTTCATTTATAATCGAGGTAGTATTTGTGCTCAGAGTTGAGTGCCGTCGTGTCAACTGACATACTTATCCAAACTGTAGCCTTCTCGATCATCAAAAGACCAGGATTTCCGCCCTTGGTTGTAGTACGAAAATTACAATATTTCTGTACTCACTTCCAGCCACGCTATTACTTCCGCCAACGGCATTAAGTCAGTATTTTGTAGTGGCAGTTTGCCACTAAACAGCTACAAGAACGATTAGTGGACTAGTGTTTGCGTCGTTCATGCACGCGATTAGGCCTTTCGTTTGAATCAAATTGGCAGCCTTATCCGTCTCATCTTCTTACATCTGCGTTTGGAAACAATAGTTGGATTGTTATTCGCCTGTTTCGCTGGCGCTTCAGAATCGACATGACATAAATAAAGGATAAAGAATAAATAAATTGTCAGATGTGCGCCGTAACGGCGCTTCGCTTCGCTGCGACGCGACCGCCACCAGTCACGCGCGGACTGAGTTTACCGCGAGAACGCCCACCCCTATGCGGATTCGAACCGGTGACCTTATAGCTGCAAATCAGGCGTGTAGACCACTCGGCCACCGGCCGACGATGGGGATCCAGTTTTAACGGGATTTTCGCACACCACTAGGTCTGCAGCTTGACACGTCGCGACATCTGCTATCCTTAAATACGATGGATACGTTAAAAGTTATTATCTGTTCAAATGAACTCAGTTAGATGCAATCTAAATGAATAATTTATTGTTACCTACATTGCCTTATCAATTGTCGATGTATCCTTCTTCACTAAGCGATGTGTTAAGCATCACGTATTCTCTTACCGCGTTCGAAGTCCGGTGTCGCAACTGCTTCCATGATACGCGTGTGAGGTACCCCCTCTACTTCAGCTGGTACAACAAGGCGGGCTTTCTGAACGGCTAGACTGGATTTCCCTTATCACGCCGTCCCAACCGGATTATTGCTTCTTCATAAACACACTCTTCCGCAAATACCGATGTTGGTTAACCATGTTAATCAATTTTTTGACTGGGGTTTATACTGCATCCCCGCACGAACAGTGGCTGTATGCGCTCTGCTCCTAACGTCAGAGATAGGTTCGAATAACGTTACAGTTTTCTCTGTTAACGGAACGCCTATCGAACTTGGCATTTCAGAAGTACGCCTCCTTTCCTTCGTCACCACGAAGTTCTGCAGACAAACAAGTCTCTCTGCTTTTTCAAGCTGTGTACTTTTCGTCCACCATGCATTCCTGATGCGACCCAGCTCTCAAGTCAATTGCCGACGCAAATTACGACACTTATTCTCCCCCTCTGCCGACACATGTGGCTGCGTGCTTATTTTCTTATGTTTCGGGTGTTTGTTGTCTATAGATATCCCCGGTTTGGCTGCGCTTGAATTGTATGTTGACAACGTGCCTACCTGTCGAAAACCGCCACATGGATTATACTGGCTCCAGTCAGAGACAGTCGGTCGTCGCTGTGCAAAACAGCGTGCACGGTCCTCGTGACCGTGTTAAGCTCAAAGTGTGGTTCCATCCGGTGTGGAGTGGACTGCGGTCGAGCCACCGCCTTGTGTACGCCTGGTACGCATGATTGCTTATATAGATAGACAGGAGTGCCGCTGATCTGCATGTCGAAGCAGTGTGGGGTGTCTCCGTTGCTGAAACGGGTCTCCCATCCACATGCCTCCCGGTCTTATTCCTTCGGATTTACACTGGATATTGGGTGTATGGATAGAGCTGCGGGTGATGCAGCGCAAGCCGTCCATGATTTATCTGTAGGCGCAGGCGTCCTGTGGCTGTCCTATGGTTAAAAAAACGGTATCAACAGTACGCCGCTACGTGGTACCGAAGCTTCGCTGCCACACAGCCACCGACAGTCGCACGCAGGCTAAGGATACTGCGAGGGTCGCCCGGTCCCTTACATGGGCTCGAACCCACGCATCGGATTACAAGACAGATTTATGAATTTTTAGACCATAGGCCGGCGGTTGTCATATGGAGGCCACAGTGATAAGTAAATCCGGAACCGGATGTCGCTAATCATGTTATCTTGCGATTATTTGTTATGGTGATGTATTGTTTCGCATTTTGTAGGGACACGGAGCATGCACTGTTAACCGCTCAGATCATATTATACAGCCCGGGATTTTTCGGCTAGCGAGATCCTATCGGTCTGGTGTTTACTTGAAAAAACTGCTTGTGTTGGTTGGCGGCCGAAATGGTTTGGTGCTTTCCTTGTAGTCCAAAGGTCACCAGTTCGGTGCATACGACCTCGTGATATGCCCAGGCTAAGCGCGACCTCTAGTGGTTGTGACGCAGCGAAGCGTCAATTCTGTGGGGTGTCATAATTCTGGTGCCTGTACAGTCCCTCAGTTGGATATCGTCTGGGCAAAGTATGAAGTGGCATAGCATGCCGCTGTCGCACACCGCCATTGAAAATGATGGGTGAAGAGAGCTTTCTGTTAACCTTCACTCAGTCGGACGCTCGGAATTAACGCAGTTCAATTATAACGGTTTGTTTTTCTGGGGACTCTGTTTTTTAGTGACGAATACCATAAACAGGTTAATTGACCGAATCAGATGCCGTTCGAATGCCTAGAAAGAAAGCACTGGTGTTTAGGAGGCTTGCGAAGAGTGAAAATGTGATCCTCTCATCCTCAGAATGCTTTCCAAAGCAATGATGACCAAACACTTTCACTAGCTTGCTATACGGGATAGATGCCTGAGATTTGAACGCTATCTAGGCTTATTCCCGTCCATCTTTGCAGTACTGGACGATATATGCTTATCAATCAAGTATGTGGTGTGTATGTTGCAACGCAACCACTGTTGGAGCGTGAATCCTAGGCATTTCCATTATGAGAGTGGTACCAATCAAACAGTTTTCCTTCCTCACTGTTGGTTGCCTAATGTCAGCCGCATCTAGTGGGACAACTGCGTAAGCAGTGCAAAGGCCCTTCAGCCAGAAGTCGTTAACTCACTCTCTGACGCCGTGCTTATGCCTCGTTTGCATTGGAAACTAGTTATACCATGTTTTTCGCCTGTCTATCCATATAATACGTTGGTTATCTGCTAATACAACATGAAAGACTCATACGTGCCGTTTTCCTTAATAGCATCAACATTTCGCTGCGGTTCATCACAGCTGAACCCGCCATCATCTGGAAACGCCCGTAGCCTAGAGATAACGAGCTTGTCTCGTAATCTGACAGATCGGGTTCGATTCCGCAGAGGGATGGACGTCCTCGCGGTATACTCAGTCCGCTTGCGGCTGGTGATGGTCACACGGCAGCGAATCGCCGTTACGGCGTACAGCTGACACATTATATATTTCTAATGGCTTGCATACTTAGTTCGCCTCTTCCAAACGCGAATGTTGACGGATTGTTTCAGGCTTCTGGTCAGTAATCCATGAGCAACCGTTCGAATCTATGGAGGCGCGTATCATCTTGCTGTATCCAAACTCACTTGCAGTCGTTGGTGTTCGCTTGGTAGCGAAGCATCAGCTCGAAACGCTAACGTATTACTCACACCCTTTCTTACTTTCTGGATTCGCCGTTGCTGTACATCAGGTCGACCTAATGAGGGGCCCGGAACCTAGACCCAACTTTTCTAAACGGGGACCAGCAAGTTTATGGTGTAATTTGGGGAGCATTGGGCCCCTGTTTGCAAAGGAACAAACGAAAGGCGTATGAACTGAATAATCAGTCACCGGCTCCCAATGGGCGCGATTCCCTGAATTCGCTCCGCTGCCTTGCGGGCAGGCTATTCAGCCAAAGGCTCGGGGTGGTGTCCCCTAAGTCAACACCCTACTTCGGCTTGGGCAACCGGGTAGTATCTCGCCCTCTGACGAAACCATGGACTTTGAAGTGTTGTGTTGTGTTTTCTTTTACTATTTCTGTACCTTGTTTAGAGTTCCATGGTTTCCGATGGCTCAATGTCTATTCCTAGACTGTTGCAAATATAAACGGTGACCTAAGCTTGTGTGACAGTGCGGGTCTGTGTCCAGAATGACCGGGGAATTGGTTTTGCTTTAGCGGTGCTCATTTTTCATTGATATGTCCTACAGAATGCAGAATCTCTTCTTTCCAACAGTGTCTTCTCAAACTTGAGTGAAAACTTATAGCATTATAATTCGTTTTGGCAGAATACTATCTACAGGTGTAGTACGGGTTTTACATGATTCATGTGCAAATTACCACCCAGCTGAGGATTGACCGCACACTTTCACATTTAATCTGGGACTAAAGGCTTAGGTATTTCACTTCCAGAATTTGGACCACGATTCCAGGCTTCTCTTTGAGCCGAGTAAATGCAGTGTTGACGACTCCCGTGGAACACACAATGGTTGTCCAGTGTTTTCCTGAACTTACAGGCCATCTGGCTTGGCTAGGTTTCGATGCATTTCACCCAATTTTTTAAATTCACCCATTGACCCTTTATATCTGTCATTGTTTAGGACTAAATTCCGTGTCGTTTCACCAGCAACTAGCAACAAGCCTGGCCATTGAATTTTCTATCCGGTTTTCATTACTCGCGCACTTTATGTACCTTAGTGTTCGTTAAACTCAACCTTTTGCTTTAAACGTTACATCACGTTTCAGCGACCACTACAACCAAATCTGAACAACCTGTTTTATCAATATTCGCTTCTTTCGTACTTTTCTGACTTTACTGTATTTTATATTTTTAATAATCACTCCCGTCGTTTTCGCCATTTTAATCGTCATTCTCATTGCGATACCAATCAGGGTTCCTTCACTGTACTAACATTTCTGACACGCAACAACACCGATCGTAAACCTGGTTCACGTCATGGACTTCGTTTTGAATTACCCGACTTAGTATTTCGCTTTACTCGGCTGCATTTCCTGCACAACTTGCCACTCAGAATTGCTTTTCGCTGGAATGTCTTCTTTGTCTTTTTTACATCTTGTTCTTTTTATAGCAAGGTCTCCCTCCATCCGACACTGGCATTATCACCCCCTATCGTAATCAGGTTGCTCTGGTGAAACGATTGCTTACCGAATGTTCCGAACCGCTCGTTACCCAAGTAGAAGTGGCCACGGTAGACCAATTTCAAGGACGAGACAAGCGTGCAATCATATTATGTTTAACAGCCTGCACCAAGGTATAACTTGTTTTTCTTTTTACCAACACTTCCGTGAACTTCATGTGACCGTTCGCTCAGTGCTGCGTCGAAATGTTGATTGTCGCGTGTGCCCACATGTGCGTTACTGTTGATTCTCCCAGGGAAATGAAGCGTTATCGAATCACTGGCTTGGGCCGCCTTCCTTGTGGTCTCCGCTGAGTTTTAACATTCATTTCTTTTTTTACCGTCCATCCTCCTCAGTATATTGTATGTCGGTCGGATTCCTTCATCTGGTCCTTCTTCCCAACAGTGTGCTCGCCAATTCCCATTTGCCTCCAGTTGGCTTTGTCCACTTTTCTTACCTTACCGTCGGTCACTTGCTAACTGCCTGCCTACGACGTTTGATTTGTCTCCGATTACACAACACTCAAAGTAGCTCTTCTTCAGAAAACTTGTTTGTCTGGTCATCTATTCACCCCGGCCATACCACGTGTTGCCTTAGCTAGCGATTTGACGAACCCATTGGTTTTCATTCGTCTTCTGCTGCGGTTCATTTTTTGTTGTCTAATCTTGTGGTATTTTCTCTTCATGCAGTCTCCTCCGAGCTCTACACCGGATCACTTGTTGGAGGATTCGGCTCGACTCACCGTCGCTCTAACACGTGCCAAGCACAAGTTGCTTATCATTGGTTGCTGTCATGAGGAATTCTTGGAGGATGACGCCGTTTGTCTCGCGAGTTCCAGTGTGCTTGCTCGTCTCTTCAAACTTGTTCATCAAGCACATGGGCATGAAACGCTTCAACCCCCAGACTTGTTGTTTTTAAAGCACTATGGGTGTTTCAACTTTATTCCACAGGAACCGTCTTAGCAGTTTTGCTGCCTACCTTTACTTCTTTGTATCGTATCCACTTGCATTTGTATGATCGACACAGCTATTCTGTCTCCATGATGAGTTGATTTATATTCCCTTTGTTCAAAATGTCCCCATCCCCGACTGAAAAATGAAAACCATTTATAAAACTATATGTATTACAACACCCTCACAATACTGGTGTGTGTTTTGACCATCGGACATTGAGGAACTCTACTACGGCATCATAGCTGGATGGCGTAGTGTTGCTCTAGCATTGTCGTGGCGTGTGCGGTCCTCTCATAAGCCACAGTTAAAATAGATTTCTTGGGGCACATTTGATGGCAGTGGGTTTTTGTGCAGACCCATGCAGCCTTACTTTTTGGGTACCCTCTGCTCATATATGTTGCCGTTATTGACTATCCTGCGTCGGGGTCGCACACCATGGATGTTGGCAATTCCATTCCAGTGAATTTGTTTGATCCGCATAGCAGCTACTGTGAAATTATCGCCGTGAGCATTTCGCAACCTCGTGGAGACCGCAGTCCAAATATATGTTTGAGTAATGCAAAAATTTTCATCCATGATTTCGATTTTTAGTGCCTCGGAGGCCGGAGAGTTTTCTGTGCCTCTTGTTATACTGCTTTGCCTACGGTCTGCTCCGCCTGGCGCCTAATCCAACCGTGAAACCAAAGGCTCGGCAGACGGTGTGTTTTCTATGAAAGAACGATTTTATCTGTAGCTCGACCATGATCCCCGCATGTTCGCCATCCTGGCCTCAACCAAGCTAAACACGTTCCGCTGGTTTAGTTTTGCCATATTTGACCCTTGTTCGTGTCAAGGCGCGGCCGTTATTCACTCAGTCTACCTTTGTCCGAGTTTGCCAGCATCACGCCTGTGTTCCATATTTGGCCGGCTGTACGAGCGCCAGGATACAAACTTCGTCACATGATAATGATGCTCCATTGTGCGAGAGGCTGTCTCTGAATTGGGCACAGATCATTAATACACTTATGATGATGCTCATGCACGTGTGAGATATGTATTCTGGGGGTGTGATATCAAAAAATTTGGTAATCGCATAACTTGTTATTGCTGCTTTTTGTGTACCATCTTTTCTTACTGGTTATATATTTCTTGGTCCATCTAGGAAGAACTTATTTAGTGATTCGCGCGATAAAACACGGTCATTCGTGAGTTCTGGTCTACGAAATTACCACGTTTTATCTGGAATGTTCCTGCACTTGTACAAGACTTGATAATGGATGGTAGGTTATTCCACACGACATCGTATCTGACGAGGAAGAAGTTGGATCGAATAGCTGTCCTGGTTGTTGGCACAGTTAATCTACAAGTTTTGTTGCGTAGATTCCGAGTGAAGTTGTGTTGCAATTTTAGTGTGCATAAATTGGAGTATGGCTTTTGAGTTATGAGATTATGTATCAGCATCAGGTTATTCTTCAGTCATCTCAACCAAAGCCGGCGCTTAGTCTATCACAGCTCCTTGTACTTCGAAACTATCGGCCTGTTGCATGCACATCATCGACTTTGGGCTTCTGTTTTCAGTCAATAGTTGAGGTCCGTTTGGTCACAGCTGTTCGTTTCCATTTTAGCCATCCTATCGCACTTTTTCGCATTCAATTATTCCTACACTGTGCAATGTGTGACCTCGTTACATATCCTTTCCGCTAGTCGAGTGCAGCGAGCACACTTTATTTATCGTGTAGTCTTCTGTTCCATTACTTACCCCTGTCCGTGGCATATGTGGGTTAGAGTTGAATATGCATCTTTCATTGATGCGTAAAGCACATTTTTGACTGGACTTGAGGGCCTTGTGCACTTAGATTAACACTGAGGTACTTATTAGACGAGGAAATTATCGCTTCGATGCCGATGTTTCACAAACTGTGAGTGATCGGTCTGTACCGTGTAGTCTTACTCTCCTCTGCATACGTCACCGTTGTGGTAATTCTAATTCTTTGGTAAGCAGTTATCTGCGGATCCCTGAATCCAGACTTCACCTCCGAAATATAAGAATTTGTCACGTTAATCAATGGAAAACTGTTCTCTAGTGTATACACCGATTCGTCTTAACATATCACTCTCGACCATTGTTCCGTTGGAATTCTCCAGGCAGAGTGTTCGGTACTGCGATATACGTCGGGGGCAACTGATTTATGTCCATTTGTGATACCGTGCTTGTCCGAATGCAGTCTACGTGCATACGCTTTGCACGTCTTCTTGTGGTCTTTTTTTTTCATTATGCGCCCGCTTCATACTGATATTGTTTTCGGGACTCACACCTGCGCGAACATCATCTTGGTTCGTCGGTGGTGGACAGCTGATTGTTTGGTCAAGTCACTCCCATTGTATTAGCTTTTGGTTCCCCCTCTGTTATTATGCTTTCTGTTATCTACGCTCTTTAATCCATCGGCATTTATTCTCAGATGGGTGTGTCTTACAGTGCCCCACGTCCACAATTACTAATGTCAAAAATATTGATCTGAAGAACTGGTTGCATTTACAGCAAACAAATATAAAAGGATATTTTGGACAAACTTCTGCGACTTCTTTGCATTTACACGTACACCAAACTTGTCGATGGTCCATCAGTTGAAGGCCAGTTAGTTTTGGTTATCGCTCATTCCATAGTTCTTCCAATTCCCATAAGCAAACGCGTCCATCTTGGTCTCCTGTCGCCAGTAATTTCGCACTAAATGTATTAAGGCATAAAGTTAAGGTTATTAGCACCGCTTACTTCCTGGGGTTGAAGGTTAACGCTACTATAGGGGCCATGCTCCTTGCACCGTTTTCATCAGTTCCACTGACGATGTGCAACAATCGAGGCTGTTTTTCTGGGCTGTTTTCTGCGGATCCAAAAGCTCCGCGTCTTGTGTCAATTTCATACAATGCAATTGATCCTTGTCCGGTACAGCAGGTCAACAGGTTCGGATAGTGAGGTGACAGTTGAATCACTGTCACCGCCCCTTGACCTGGGTCGATGGTTATTGGCTGAGATCTCTCCTTTATATTGTGGACCTAGAATTAATGAGTACATGGATGGATAGAATCAATCATGTTTGTGCACGTGCTGGGGTTAGCCAAGCACGCTGAGATGGATTTTGTAGCATACCATACGGTTATGCAAGCCAACACCGGAACCAATGACGATTGCCTAACTGTTCTTTAAGCTCATTTACAGTCTACCGTACCGGCACGGAGCACAAGTATTCCATGTGACTGTGGTGGACAAACACTAACACCACGCTTACTATTATTTAACCAGGCCATGTTCACCAATTTAGAGGTTCTTGAAACCACCATTTCGAAACAGGCGCAAACTTTCTACCTTCGCATAATGCATTCCGACTCAATATGCAGTTACTGCTTAATGATTCTAACCTCGCGGATCCTGCGAGGCTGCCTTTTTGCTTTTCCATGCGTTGGTTGCATGCTCCGGTACCCATTCAACTGTTTTGGGCGTTAATTAACGCGTCTCCTTCGGGTCGCTTATGCTATAATCGTGAACAGCTGACAACAAAGTAGCATCGGCTGTTTATTCCAAGTTTTGACGTTTGAAGAGTGGTTCACTGTCTATATTTGTTCGGAAAATGGACTTGGAAATTGGCAGGCAGCAAAAATACTTGTGGTTCTTACTGATTTCATTGAAACCAGAGCATCCCGCACCGACGCTTCGCTGCCACGAGTCACCCGCGCCTACGCGGATTCCAACCAGTGTTATCTAGATTACAAGGTAGTTACCTGTTTTCGTTGACCGGCCATAGGCAGTGAAAGGAACTTGTGGGCGCTTCGCTAGTACATGTGACTGATGTTTCGCTGTAATACCTCTCTAACCTACTGCCCGCGGGTTACCGTAATGCATGAACGCTCAAACCTGATTAAGAGCACCGACTCGGACCCATGTCATAGAATATTTCTTACACACTGGTCTGCAGCTACCCACCTATCATTCCCTTAGTACCTTTACCCACAAAGAATAACTTCTCAAGATTCATGCCTAACTCAAAGGAGCTGTGAGCATCCAAATTATTGAATTCAAAATGTTCCCTGGTGTTTTAGCCATACCAACGCTGGACGTAATCAATCTCATTGAGCTAGCAATGGGTTTGTTTAGCGCTGCGGAGCTGTACTGTCAGGTGCGTCCCTCCGTACCAGATCGCCGAACATCATCCTTATTGAGATAACTGAAAAAGTCTGGTCTGGCTCACAAACAAAATCAGCAGTGTTTTGGAACGTGGGAGCCCCATTTCAGTCATCTGGTGCGCCATAATGGCTTGTGCAATCTTTTGCCAATTCGAACGCAATCATTCATACTTTTTTCGAGTTACCCTCTTCCACTGTAAAGAGTGAATACACGCGAAGAACTGATGATGGCCACTAACCCCTACTTGAACTGCTCGTTCAGACAATGAGCGAGCACTTTGGTCCCCATTTTGTCAACAATTCCCAGATGTTGTGGTGATTTTACTGACCAAGGAAACGGCCTATGGATACCGTGCTGTCACGCAGATATTTTTCAGGTGTCCGACAATAGTCGAAGTCGCGTTTTGCTCCTAATGTCTCGCTATATACCTTAACTGCTCCGCTGATTTTTCGGCCTGCGGTTCGCGTAGTTCCTAGCCCAATCGGACTCTGGTCATCGACTTTATTCAAATCTGACCGGGCCGCTTAGTTCTGTAAGGTCACCATCATCCGCTGAGCTGGATGGATGGTGTAAAGAACAGAGGTTGCAGCCATATATTGTCTCCCTCCGTCTCCATGCTCATCTATAAGCTGGCGTGCTGTTGCATGTTTGTGTTGTTCGCCTGACCTTACTTTTTCTCGAACTACGGGATCTGGTGCTCGACATTTTACTCCATCGTTCTCTGAATATTCTCTACGACTTCAGCTCCGTCAACTGGTTCTCGAATTGCTTGTCCATCAGCATACCAAGGCTATGGTTTGTTTTATAATAACACATTAGTAAAATCGTTACTTTTGTATAGCGATGAGGCACCATCGTCTGGTGCCAGCGTTACAACCTTGATGGTATACAAATGTAATGGGCAAGCACAAAAAGACAAAAATCTTACTTGAACAATAGAGCGATTTCCGCATGAAATAAGCAGGTTGGGATCAAATTTCGACCAGGTAAGTCCACTCACAGGTCCTGACTGGCGGAACAAGCAGAATTCCACCACTGCTGAGCCTTTTGTTATCATAGGAGGATCTTTGGGTTGAAAGTAGTAGCAAGGAATACTAATGAGAGCAACATTCCTTACTCCAGAGGGCATTTGTTCAGTATGGCGTCAGTAGTAACCATAACTTTCGAAACATGTACGAATAACACTAGAATCAAAAACTTGCAGGATATATCGTGGTTAGGTTTACGCATCGTATTCCCAGTGCATTTTGCGCACGAGATTTCTAGTACTCTACATTACTTTATGTACAACTCTTACGAAGCAGAAGCAAAGGCGAAAGGTGTATCTTCAAGTTTACATGAGGACAAATTCCGCTCTTTCAACCCAAGCTTGCGCTAATCATCCTCATCAGTGCACGTTAGCCGAGGGTGAGGTAGACACCTCAGATAATGTACCGCAATACAAAAAGGATATGAGATTAAACATTACAGGTTACCAAAGCTAGCAAAGTACCTTACTGCTAGAACTACATAATGCATTGGATTGAGATCGTTGTTAGTGGCTGAAGCTAAAGGGGAGAGGAGGGACAAAGAGACTCACAACACAGACGCCATTGTGGTCGGCTCCTCGTCATGTCAGCCAGTGTATCCAATCAAACGTGTTCATCGTCCTTCCGGTCCCATCCCGGTAGTCGAGAAACATCAACTGATACCAACTTCGGAGCGACGGACTACATTCCATTTGATCAAATCATCCCATGGCTCATTTCTTCTTCCATCCGGCCCCAGGTCGCGTAAACCATGCATACTGCGGGAGTCGGTGTGCTGGCATGCTCAACACGTGGCCCAGCCATCGGAACTTGGTGCCTGATATAATGGTGCTGAGCGGTTCACTAGCTCTTCCTGCACTAAATACACGACGCCGAACACGCCCATTGCTCATGCGGTGTTCCCACCACGCATGAGCTATGCTGCAAAGGCAGCGATGGTCGAACGTAACGCCTCTTTATGTCGGCTGTTCCAGTGGACCAGATTTCGCAACCGTACAGGAGGGTTGAATGGACGACTGCATTGTAAACTCTGCCCTTCAAAGCGAGAGTGATATCACACCGGCGCCACAGGTGACAGAGATTGGCGAAAGTATCTCGAGCTTTCGTGATACGGGGTATGTGCGATATTAGTCAATTCGATTGACTTGGCAAATAATGACACTAATACTTCTTTTAATTACCCCCTTGCGACGCGGTAGTTTGACATCCTTACTGAACAATCAATTAGACAAATGGATGCATCTCTATTTTATCAATTTGAACGGATGGGTAGAGCATGTTGTACAATAGTTCCGTAAGTCCGTTTCTTCGCCTTACAATTTAGCCGTACATGGGTTGTTAATCTCATCGTTCACAACAACCAATTACTCTGACTCTACTTGGCACTCTTGAGATGAGCCAATTGACCTGGATCCGACTATCTTCCACTGTCGTTGCTTTAAGGCTGTGTTACTTCGCTGGCTGTTAGGAAGACTGGATAGTCTGATCACCCTGCTTTTAGCAGGTTGAATTGAGTCCTGTGCTTACCATTAATGCGTATATCAATTCACGTGTTTAGCATGTAAACGTCGACTATAAATCAAAGCAGAGCTCTCCAATTCATTGATGTGAAAACACCGCATGTTCAACCCACTATCTCCGTCTCGCGTTACACAAATCACGAGAAATTCCTGGGGCGTATCGATCGGTAAATGAAGTGAAGTGTGTAGACGATGCTCTGGATTAAGAATCCGACGACCATTCGTTTTATCATGCTATCTGTGATCGGCGAGTTACTGCCGGGGCGCCGAAGCCTTTGCGGAGTGAAGCGCTACTAGCTAAACACCTGAACGAATAACCGAATTGATAGCTCTATGTAGGTTCTGTTCACCATACGCTTTCCCATACGAATAGGCTATTTCGTTTACCCTAATTTTCAGTTTAGTTTAATCAGTAGGTTGGTCCCCTGTTCCAGTGTACATTACGGTGCGAACCTCCGACCATTGTAGTCAGGCATTTGATGGCTGGACAGTGTTGAGGCCATCGTGAAATCCCCCCCCCCACCCCTAACCAAGCTTATCGCCATACGCATAATTATCCTATCAGCAGCAAATACTATCATGTGCCTGGAGATTTCATTGCATGAAAACCATCCTAGGGGGCAGTGTGACAAGTAACCACTGGATTTAGTTGTTATTTTCTTGAGTTAGCTGCCGCTGGTACATTCATGGGTACACTTATGAACTGTGTCTCATTTCACTCGTTGGTTTCCATCTCAACGCATTTGAGCAGCAGGTCGTTGGAATAATATCTGGTGGCAAGTTTATTGCAATCGACCACTGTCAAGGCGCACTGTGGTACTCAGATGCGAAGGACTACAGGATGTGTCGGCTGTTCTTCGTACTGTGTTCGCTACATTTATATTGTGCGGTGATTGCTCAAGCATGCTTTGGAATTGAAACAAACACGTCGTATACAAATTTTGCTAGTGTTGAAGCATAACAACTCACAGTATCCTATTCTGATATGTTTGTATGCACGCAGCGCGTATTTGGTATGTGTTGTGACCTGGCGCAGTATCACTGCTCCCAATTGGATGCATGTCTGGTTGTGTATGAGGTCGTGATTCTGTCGTCTGCCTCCGTCAAACGAATGACAACGGTTGGTAACCCGCTTTTCACTTAGACATCGGATTATTTTTTACAGTTGCAAGCGACAACATTTAGCCAAGAACCAGTGGATGCTGCGTTTTGCCTGCCGTCTTAGCCACTATTGCGAACGTTAGAGTTATAAAACCTGATGTGGAATCACTATGTGTCATCAATGAGATCATGTGGAAGTTTCACTCCCCTGTCAGTTTGAAAGGTAAAACTTGACTGCTTGGGGTTGAAGCGCGCTGAATGACGCAGGCAACAATTAACTCTGGTCTAACTGCAATTAGATCGCACACAGTTGAAATAAAGTCGACATTACTGCGGGGAACCGCGACTGCTAGCAGCTTGCGTCAACTTGCCAGCAGTTTATGCCGTTGAGCCACGGGGTACGGTGGCAGACCGTTGCAACTTGTAAGCTAACTAGGATATGACGCAACCTGTCCTTCACTGCAATACAGGTAATCAGCTCTGCAGAAGAGGGCATTTGGTCTCTGAAGGTCACGGCTTCCACAGCTCAGTGGAAATGTAAGACAACATATTAGGACTGTGAGGGCGAATGTTTTGGCTTACTGAGAGGTAGGACGATTTTGGGAGAAGTTAACTGGCCCTTCCCAGCAGCTCAGAAGCGCAACAATCTAAGCAGAAATCTGGAAAAGCATCAGACGATCGTTTCGCCCAATTGGGCTGGTTAGTGGTGCGCATTCCCTCATTCCCCTGCGAGGAACCAAACCCGTGACCGATAGTAACTTGTACCAACTAGCCAGCAGCTTATGCCACTGAGCCATGGGGATGGAGGCAGTGTCTGAACTTGGAAGCTAATTGGGATATAGCGCAACCTATCATCAACTGTCATACAGGTTACCAACCTTGCAGAAGACAGCAGTTGGCCTCCTGAGATCACGACTTTCACAGCCCAGTAGCCATGTACGCTATGGCATATGAGAACTGTGAGAGCGATTGCTTCGATTATTACTGTGTAGGTGTTAGCGTTCACGGGTTCGGTTCCCGAGGTAATGCACACTACTGACTAGCACCCATGGAGCCATAGTAAACATTACCAGCCTGTCTGCGATGTGATAACCTCCAACCATGTGTACCTCGCATATAACAATGTGCGGAGGGGTGCATGCATCAATGGTGCTGTGAGTTACCGAGTCAGCTGCATATCGGCCCGACAGGGATGGGTTTGCCTTGTACGATTTTCGCGAAAAACTACAGCTAACTCTGCACTGATACTGTCACCTTGATTGGTGACGAAATGTCTTCTAACAACTTACCAAGCTCTGCGAACAAGTGAACAACAGATGCAGCTGTATTGGTAAATCTTGAATAACAAAGGTAGTCTGTAGTGTGCCTACACAATTGTCTTATAATCATAAAACGTGAGTCACGGCATCTGCCCCTCGTTCCGATATAAGCTTAATGAGTTTGTCAAAGGCTTGGATACTGTAGTCGTTGATGGACATTGCTTCTACAATCTACTTTGGTCTGTTGGCTCCCCACAGGCCTAATTCATGAATGTTTATTGCATATCGAATCACCTTTCTCCTGAATTGGAACTACCCTGTAAATGGGACTGCGACCTGCGCATTCATCTGCCAACAGCTAGTGCAGCTCTCAGCAACGTGGAACGTCCAGTGTGCGACAGCCATCAACTGACGATTGTGACTAAGTTAGGAGTGTAAATGCGCATTTTGATATCGGTCCCCATTCAATCCATCAAAATCCGCACACTGTGCAGCGAAGACACCATTATTTGTAGTCGTTTCGGTAACAGTGCTAAAGGTGGATTTTGTGCACCTGTTCGTGGGCCTGAACCTAGGACACAAAAGTCGTCCGCAGAAACGGCAAGTGTGGAATGAACTATGTACTGCTGTTGTTATGCCCCCCAAGGTCACTACGGTATTTCCATCAAGTGAAGGCGACCAGAAGCTCGATGCATACATTCTGTGGTGCATTAGGTGCAGGGAAAAAGAATGAGAACAGCCTGAATCTGCCGTACCAGGATATAGTCAGGGTGAATCCTGCATCAACCAGTGTTAGTTTCAAACGCTGTGATGAAACGGCAGCGTGTCTTCGACAACATCGTAATCCCTTCACAAATACTCTCAACTAGCTGGGCTCCAATGAACCAGCATATCTGGGTCGGAATCACCTGGTAGACCATGGAAATTAACAGGTTCATAATAACTTCGTACTTCAGCCTGTGTTGTAGTATGCACGGTCGTTTGTGCTTCAGCAATCCAATCTGATATGCCGTCAACATTGTTTCGAAGAGTGCAACTTGCAGTAGTACGAATAAGGAAATACCGTCACAGCTGAAATATGCTGCTTCATTCAGCATTTATGCACACATATCAAGGGTGCGGCTGAAGTGGCGCGTGTAATTCAGCGTCGCTGCACT